GATGATCTTCACCCACCATCAGGACCTTCGGTTTAGGTAAATGGATGGCTGATAATTTATTATTACAGTTTAGAAATGTCCACCCTCATATGGACAGGAAATTCATATATACAGTATATATATATATATATATATATATATATATATATATATATATATATATATATATATATATATATATATATTAGTGGTGGGCATAGATTAATTTCTTTAATCTAGATTAATCTAACTGTAATCTTGGAATTAATCTAGATTAATCTAGATTAAAATGGCTCATTTTAATTCTGTCGAAGGCATTCATAATATGTGTGTGCTACCTAAATAATGACTAGAAATAAGTCTGCGCGATTGTTGACGGGTGGGGGGGGGGGTTCCCGATTGTTGACCGGAGGGGGAGAGGTGCGCGATTGTTGACCGGAGGGGGAGAGGTGCATGATTGTTGACGGGGGGTGGGGGGGGGGGGGTGTTCGCGGTTGTCGACGGGGGGGGGGGTCAGTAATGACACAGCGAATACGGACGTTTATCATCTTTTTTTAAATATATATTTTTTAAGAGGCCCCTGATTGGCCGAGGCCCCGGGCTGAAGCCCAGGTAAGCCCGTGCATTAAGGCACCACTGCCCAGACCTACAACCGACGGGGGGTCGCCGGGCAGAGGACGCAGCCGTTCCGCAGCGCAGCCGTTCCGCGGCGCTTACCTTCCTTGGTGGAAATCCGGTATAGACCCAGCTCCCAACCCAACTTTGAGAATAGATTAACGGCGATAATTTTTTTATCGCGCGATAAGAGTCTCGCGTTATCGCAGCGCGTTAACGCCGATAACGGCCCACCACTAATATATATATATATATATATAGAGAGAGAGAGAGAGAGAGAGAGAGAGAGAGAGAGAGAGATTCATATATTGGTTTCAGTGATATAGTGTGGTCAAAATGCACCTAAAATGATCAGTTCATAAATGTGAAATACATTTATTTGAAATGTTACATTAGTGAGCCTGACGTCAAATAATTGTATGACTTGGCTGGCTGTTTGACTGGATAAAGACACTCATTAGTGACTTAATAAAAAGTAGGTTTGTCCAGGATTTAAACCCGGGACCTCTTGCACCCTTAGTGAGAATCATGCCCCTAGACCAACATTGGAGGGTTCTCACTTTTCAGGATTCGCTTTGCTTTTCATCTCTGCTCTGTGATTTGGTTTTTAGAACTGATGATGTGGCAAGTGGCCCATCACGTCAAACAGCACCCCCTGCTGGTTACAATATAATAGTGTTCGATGCACTCTTCTGGCAAGGTGGATGGAATTTCTTGACCATCCCACATTGCTGCTTAGTTTGTGGCATATTTGGCCCTGATCATCAAGCTACAGCCGTTTCTCAGACATAACCTCTGTAAGATGTAGGCATCCATATATTCATAGATTAATAAGTACAGAATACTGAAATTGTGCATTCTTTTAGAAAGCCTAAACTAACTGTAATTGGGCTCGTATAGGTATTTCATCCTGTCCAAAGACCATTACTGTGATACAATCCTCATCACTGTCTCATACTGTGATATCATATCAGGAGTTAACTGGTGACTTCTATGACCAGTGATGTTGGCTGTAAAAGGAAAGTAGGTTTTGGGTATTGATCAACCAGGTATGAACCGTGTATTACCTAGGTTTTGTAGATATTATTTATCACATAAAAACGCAATGACAAGATAAAGCATGAAATAGCTCATCCTTCTTAAATATATGATGTTGTAAGCATGTAGGTAAGTATTTGATGTGGTGGAGCTCAGAGGGTACAGATCTGAAAATCATTGAATGACAGCAAACTTTGCAGCATTTTCTTTAGCAGATTTTCTCGTCTTTCCCATATTTCCAACAGCAGGCTCCAGGGCCTGTAAGCTGCAAGTGAGCGTGGTGTGATAAGTAACAGCAGGCAAGCCCATTGTGACTTTTTTTCTTAGTCTTTCACATTATCATTTCAAATGTCAAAAGTTGTGAGCGCTTACCTTTATTAGTGCTTATGCAAGATCTCTTATCTTGAGGGTAGAAAATAAAATGTCTGGGCTCGTCCGGGATTTGAACCCGGGACCTCTCGCACCCTAAGCGAGAATCATGCCCCTAGACCAACGAGCCACATGTTGAGGTCCTATCCCTCCCTTGTCTAGACTGAACCTGCAGTTTAAACCTCACAACTGGTGATGTGGCAGACTGAAAGCTCAGAGCTCTCTGGTCAAACAGCATCCTCTAGTGGACTTGGTATGCACTACACAAGCCCATTGTGTAGTGCATACCATAAAAACTAAACAAATATAAAAGACAGTACCAACACTTGCCTATTCATAGCATTACAGAGCATTTTTAGATTGTTTATTAGGTTGTTGATTAAAAAGAAAGCAACATCAGATTTGAAATGAGTTCAACTAAAATATGCATTTGGAAAACAACCTTGCAACCTGCTCTGTCCTGATCCAAATATCATATAGTTGGTTCAAATGAAATGATGCAATCTCAGTCACCAATGTTTGGTTCTGGCCTGTGATGAGATGTCATGTTGTGTTGATACTAGATGGGGGATTTTCATTGGGGATGTCGGCAATAAGAAAAATGACCTTTAAGATTACTCACTATATTGTGTTTTGTGGGTTTGCTTATCCTACTCTTGCCATAAAAGAGCCAAAATTCAATGGTGCCATTTTAGCAAATTAGTACAATGATGAGTGTCCATGCACAACATCTGAGTTTCGTTATAATTCTTAAATAGGGAACTGATTTGTTTTTTGCTTTGAGTGTGTTGATTTGCAATCTAATGTTTGCTCGTGCTCATCCAGGATTTGAACTCAGAACCTGTGGTAGTCTTGAACTTGTAACAGTGGTGATGGAAGAGTTACCCTCTCTTAGAAGTTAAAGTAGAGGCAACTCTTTTTCTTAGTCTGTCACCTTATCATTTAATGTAAAAGTTGTGAGCACATACCTATGTTAGTGCTTATGCAAGATCTCTTATCTTGAGAGGTAAAAAATAAAATGGCTGGGCTCGTCCGGGTTTTGAACCCGGGACCTCTCGCACCCAAAGCGAGAATCATACCCCTAGACTAGGGTTTCTCAACGGGGGCTGTACCGCCCCCTTGGGGGCGTTATAAACATTTTGGGGGGCGCTGGACGCGTGAGGGCTGGTATGGGGGCGCTCTGGCACGAATGGGGGCGCCACAATTTGGCTTGTACAAAGTTCATTTGAACTCTACATTTTAAATTTAATGGTTTCCCAACTAAAAATAACGCTGCTGCCTGAGACCAAGAACCCGAGTCTGCTGCTTCCACCGCTGGGTAAAAGGGAGTAAACCCCGACGTCGCCCCTGGAGATCTCCCCTCTGCTCCCTGATCACGATCGGACAAGCCGAGCAGGAACGGTCTCCATAGTAACGCCCAAACAAATCCACCACAGCAGCAGCGAAACCCGGGAAACACAAACGCTACTTTTGACAGCTGTCACCTCATCTTTGCGGGCTATAACCAATGAAAACGTACACGAGCGCGATAATGTAACCACGTTTAATCACACACATTACAATCAAATAGGGATGCACCGAATATTCGGTGGAATGAGTGAAAAACAAGGCCGAATATATATATTAAATATTAGCGCCGCGTTTTAATGATGCAAGCAAACAACGTGCAGTGACGCGGCGCGTTTTACTGACGCAATGAAAGAACGTGCAGTGACGCGGTAAACATAAACAACGATGTCGGCAGTGTGGAGATATTTCAAAGTTACGGAGAACGAAAAAAGAATTGCGGTTTGCAGCCGAAATATAAAGTACAGTATACGTACGGGATAATGCCCGACGAAATGAATGGACTTCGCGTAAGTCCTCCGCTTCGCGTCGGACGGTTCACGCCTCCGCGTCGTCCATTAATTTCTGTTAATGGACACCTCGAAGGGCATTATCCCGCTTATACCATGGTCACTTACGAAAGAAAGACATATTTAATCAATGAATAATACTTTAATGCATTTTAGAGTTAAAATCGTGAGGTTCTTTTTTATTTTTACAAGTCGAGCTGACTATTTAATATCTTATATAACCTATTCTATTTAATATTTTATATCACATTACAACTAAAATAACATTTCCATGTTGTTTCCCAGTTTCTCCAGTTAAGTAATGTACAAACATGACCTATTATATGTCTCAAAAACATACATTTTGGCGGCAATGTTTAAAATCAATGCTTTAATTTCCTGTAAAATGATCAGATTTGCTCAGCAGCACATCAAGTTGTTGGGGGCATAAATACATAAATACATAAACAGCTCCAATCCAATACAAACAGGGATTTTAAAGCAAAACAATGGCTTCTCTCATCATAAAACCCGATGTCAGTTGTCCTCCAGTCTTAACACACTGTTCACTACAAGAACACTTAAAGCACCAGCACCATGTAGTTTATTGGGGTTTTTTTTGTAAGGGGGGGCGGTACGAGGATCATGGAATGGTCAGGGGGGCATTTGTTCAAAAAAGGTTGAGAACCACTGCCCTAGACCAACGAGCCGGATGAGGCATATAGTTAGAGATGATTTGTTGCCTTATCCTTGGTTTAGAATCAGACTTGATGAGCTGACAGCTGTCTAGGAGCAAAAAGGTCCCATGTCCATGGCAAGCTCAAAAAGAGTTCAGCCTAGCACCTATACAGGCAGTCTTGAACGGTCGACCTAGCACTGGAGCCGATGCCCACCCACTTATCTTGGACATGGTGTTAAGGGAGTTTGCCAGATTTGGCTGATGCTGAATAAGAGCTGTCCTGTAATGGTCAAATCTTTCTGTCATTGGCTGGTGGCAGGTGTTCATTTTGGACCCTGTTTTGGTTTTCATTTAACCTTACTGAAATGTATTCTGTATTTAAGCTCTAAAAGCAATACAAGCCCTTGGGAACAGGATTTCACGTACTACTATTCTTTTTTATTGAGTGTTTGACCTGTATCCACAATTATGCTAGGCAAGGGAGAGGGCTCGTCCGGTGTTTGAACCTGGGTCCTCTAGCACCCTAAGTGAGAATCATACCCCTAGACCAATGAGCCGGATGCTGACCTTGATGTTTAGACAGGATTTTTTGGTCTAATCACAGTACCTTCATATTGTTGGTTCATGTAGAGATCTACATGCTTGTTGGATTGTTGGAAGCACTCAGTTTCCGGTTGTTTTTCTCTCAGAAGGACATGTCTGACTGGAGCTCCCTGGGCAGGTACAAGGTCATATATATATATTAGTGATGCACCGATCGATCAGCCGCTGATCATTATCGGCCGTAATATGCCCTAAACATGTGATCCGTGATCGGCCGATCAATTTGAAATTTGTCAGTAGCAGGACCCCATCACTTGACTCCTCCAGTATCTTCCATAATATATACTGTATACTGTATATGTATATATGTATATATGTATATATGTATATAAATATAAATATAAATAAATCTGTGTTTTAAAGGAATTAAAGAAAAAGCTTGAAAAATCTAGCCTATATTTCATTGTAAAAAAAAATTGGTGGTCGTTATTGAATCAGCTGATCACATATTAAAAAGATCGGTGATCGGTATCGGACGAAAAAAACCTGATCGGTGCATCCCCAATATATAGGGCCAGTAATGGTCAACTGCATCTGCTGGTGGCAGATGTTAATTTTGGACCCTGTTGTAGTGATGGGTCGTTCGCGAACAAACCAGTTCGAACGAACGACTCTTTAAAGTGAACAAACTGACCTCGTTTGCCACTCTCGTTCGCGTCGTTCGCTCGTTCGTCTCGTTCGCTGAGTCTCTCTGACGCGCTGATTCGCGAGTCGTTCGCTGACTGATTGACTCGAGGACTGAGACGTCACTCACGACTCGTCATCACGAGAGCCAGCCAATGTATGTTGTTTGTCTGTCTGTGAGTCTAGGACGCTTTCGAATGGTTGACACATTAACAATACCACTTTCACATTTGAATATTGCCTTTTACATTTACATATCAGTGAAATGGTAAATACATGCTGTCTTTGTATTTTCTGTCATGCCAGATTAATAAAATATTTGAATGTCTCGTCAATCTGTCTCGTTCTTTCATGCTTCCTTCTCACGCACGCGACCCGGCCGGGACCCCCACCTTGGTGGATCTTGGTCTTGAGTGGGGGTGGCCAATGGCCATCTTCACAATAGTAAATAAAATATGCCCAGAATAAACACAACTGTACATCATTAACTTTAAAACTCATCATTGCTAAATCAAGTCTATTATCTTGCTGATATACATCCAATAATCTACTACGCCCCCACACACACACACACACACACACACACACACACACACACACACACACATCCCGCTGCGTTTGGTTTGTCTAACTTTACCTTGAATTGGGGGAACGGGGCATTTTGATCCTGACATGTCATTATGCATACATTAAATAAATCTGTTGAACTCAAATTAAATACATATGTTAACATATTCAACCAGACACAATGTTGTATTTGCTATTAACACATTTATTAACACCATCATTTGCACCATTGCACGATTGTGAATCGTGATTTCGTGATTAGTTAGTAAATGAGAAGAACGAGGGAGTCCGAGACCAACTCGGCTGCATTGATTCGTGAACGAGGAGGAGCCGAGTCTGACCGACTCGGCTGGCATTCGCCGTTCGCCGAGTCGTTCGCGATTCGCGAACGAGGGAGGAGCTAAGTGAACGACTGAACGACTGAACGAGTCAGTGAATGATTCAGCGCTACCGAAACACGAACGAACAAACGAACGAACGACTCTCTGTGGCGAACTGAACGACGCGAACCGATTCGCGCAAACGAACGAGAAAATCCACCACTACCCTGTTGCAATCTTTATTTAAACCTAAGTGCAGGAAACAGCCTTGTGAACACGGTTTCACCGAGCGCTATTCTTTTTATTGGGAGTTCTCCTGTATGCAGTATTTTGCAAGGTAAGATGTTTTTATCTTTAACATTTCAAGGAGTGGGCTCGTCTGGGATTTGAACCCGGGACCTCTCGCACCCTAAGGGAGAATGATGCCCCAGACCAATGAGCCACATTGGTGGGAGCTCACTTGATTGGGATTCGGTTTGGTTTTCATCTCTACGATTTGGTTTTTAGAACCGGTGATGTGCTAAGTTGCCCATCACGTCAAACAGCACCCACTGCTGGTTACAATATAATAGTGTTGGGTGATTCCTGTTTTGGGCCACATATTTGTCTGTTTTCTGAAAATTCAAATGATTGTTTTTTATGGTTTAAACATTTTGTTAGGACTATACCATACTTAGCTATGAGGAATGCATGTATGCCAAGCTCAGGTGTTGAAAATATTATAATTATGGGATGTTTTTTGTATATATTTCTCCAGACGTTTTCCACCCTGTTAGGGACATGTACATGGTAATCACAAAGTTTAAATAATGCACAAGTCGCACAATACTGAACTTTTCTGGGATACAATGTGTCCCTTTTGCTATGATAAAAGTTTCATTCTTGTAGCATTAACAGTTTTGATTTTATGAAGAGTACAATGTCAGAATAATAGAATATTTGCGTTTTTTTCCCCCATTTTGTTGTCTTGTGTGAGGAATTTTATTAATTAGAAATAAAAGTGTATGTAGATGCATTATATCTACCTAATTTAACAATACAATATACAAATATACCAAACACTTACTGTTGTGATTAGAATATTTAATGAAAATCATCACGGAACAGGGTGGAATAAAATATTACAGGGTGGAATAAAATAGTAACTATAATATATATTATTTTCTAAATACATAGGAATAGATTATTTATTTAAAAAAGGTCATAACAACCAACCTCCAACGTTTGAAAAGATTAAAAAAAAACATAAATGAACAATGACCAAAACAATAACCATGCCAAATGTCAATGCAATTAACCAAAGAAGAAACGGTCAGGCCTACACAAACATGTGTGCTCTTACATGTGCTTTTCAATCATGCGCCAAGTGGCCTGATCAAGACACACTGACCTCTTATTTAATGCCTGTGGCTCCTCTGTGAGGCACAGAATCTGGTTGTATGTGTACCAGTTAATGTCCTTCCTTGGACCTGGCCAATAAAACTTGTTTTTGCCATTGGGCAACATGCAGTTTACTTTGACGCTGCCTCCCTCTACATCCAGGATTACTCCTGGGTAGAAGATGGTGTCATATCTGATGACACACCATCTCCCGATATGATCTAAGGTGAAGGGGGCATTGGTGGAGGCAGGGGCTGCAGTGGAGGTAGAGGTGGAGGCAGTGGAGGTAGAGGTGGAGGCAGAGGCTGCAGTGGAGGCAGAGGCTGCAGTGGAGGCAGAGGTGGAGGCAGAGGCTGCAGTGGAGGCAGAGGTGGAGGCAGGGGCTGCAGTGGAGGCAGGGGCTGCAGTGGAGGCAGAGGCTGCAGTGGAGGCAGAGGCTGCAGTGGAGGCAGAGGTGGAGGCAGAGGCTGCAGTGGAGGCAGAGGCTGCAGTGGAGGTAGAGGGCTGCATTGTGGCTTCCTTCAGGCCAAAGCATGGGCAGTCCATTATACCCTCCTCCATCTTACAAAGACAGGTGATGTCCCTGTTAGGGTTGTGCCGATAGACGATATCATCGTCCATCGTGATTGGCTGACCGACATCACGATGTAGCGCAACCATCGTGATGCCACGCCCCCCTCCCTGTCAAACACAAACCAATCCTAGTCTCCTCTATAGCCTAAAAACTTGTATTGCTCTGTAAATTATATTGAGAATATAACTAATGCATATGCTCTTTCAAATAACCTGCAACCCAGGGGTCGGGAACCCGAGGCTCCTTTGCTGACTGAGTAGGCTCTCCGACGATGCTGAGCTTTTTACCACCTTCCTAAAACGAATGATCATGTCAATGCATGGCATGATGTCAAATGCATTTCTAAATTAGTTATATAACTTGATCTAATACAGGGTAATTTAACCTCAGTCGGATCCGCAGCTTCTCACGTAAATGTAATGGTCAACAGCGCAGCCGCGTTTCACAAAAATCGCACACGCATTGATCTCCAGCAGCTTCACATCCGAACTCCTGTTTTAGAGAATTTATTGAGCTCACCACCTTCTTCAAATTCACAGTCCACCCACACAAGTGCGCCCTGATTGAATCCCTTTGGTCATGAATCCCCGCTATTTATTTTGGAGAATTAAGACGTTGCTGTCCTGAGCGTCCCATCAGCTGGAGAGAATCGCGCAGCTTGCGAGTGTAGCACAAATGGACCGAAATAAAAAAAAAAAGCTCAAGCTCCGAATTCTTGGCCATGATGTCAAATTGAATGAAAGAATGAAGGTGCTTCTGTTAACACACATTTATTAAAACACAGAAGTCGTACCCTTTTTACCAACCAACGCCATTGCATCAACTGTTCTTGTGGAAGCGACTTTCTTTTTTTTTTTTTGTCTTACGTGCAACATATTGAAAAGCCCGGATGAGTAGGCCTAGGCTAATGAGTAGGGTTAGTACAATAACTGTATAGTTATTGTACTAACTAACTGTTTTTTATGGGTTTATTTTTGGCACACAAAAGGTCCGGCGGAGAGAGAAGTCCGGTGGGTCGGCGCTGGAAAGAGCGCGCGGCGCTTTGTGTGTCCACTGAATGACTTCACAATGTATAGTTTTTAAGTAGAAAAAAATATATATTTATAGTAAAAAGTATTATCGTAAAAAGTGGTCAAAACGACGATATCATCGTCAATCACGATGTTTTATGGTAATCATCGACGAGTGCCAATTTAGCGGACATCGCCCAACCCTAGTCCCTGTACCAGATCTTCCCCGTAGAGCTGGACATTACTTGGTGGATCCTCATAGTTCCCTTCACTGCACTCAAAGGGAGCACCTACAGTAAAACATAAAAAATATGAACGGTAAGGTTAGTTTTGTTATACACATAAACGTACAGTATTGACATAAAAACATTATCTTCGGACTTACCAGCTGCATTTCTTTGACTTTGGCCTCAACACTGCTCTCGCTGACGAAAAACAGTTTAACCAACGATTCCTGCTCCTTTAATTTGTGATAGAGC